ACAAGTTATTGTTTTATAATTTTTTTTGCATACTGTGTGCTGCTACAGAAAAAATGTACTTTTACAAAATATATTGTACTATTACATGAGTTAACAAGTTTCAAATTGCTTTTATTGCATTAATAATTTTAGGTTGTCCTGGTTTACACACTAGTCTTGTTCAATAAAGCAGCATTGTTTCTTATTTTATAATTCATATCTCTTTCGTTACTTTCCTTTCTCATTACTATACAATATTGTTTGAAGTGTAGACTAGTTAGCAGTGACAAGTTACATGTTTATTTCTCAATATCGATAAAAAGAGTGTCATGGTTTCCTCAGGGTACATGATTTTAGTCAAGGTTTTTGTAGCTATGCTTGACCTAATTTGAAAAAGACATCTTTCCATCATAAACAAGCTATGGTTATTTGTGTGACCCACATTCTTTTGCCAGCCTGTGAATGATTTTTCTCACTTTATCTTTCACTGTGTTATGAACCTAGTTTTCCTCCAATCGATTTTTCACCCTTGCTTTTCTCTGTCCATTTCTATACAGTGTTTAGGTCTTGTTTCCTTGAATTTCCAGCTCTTGGATGCCAAATAAGTTCCCCCAACAAGAGTCACAGGTGGGAGATGAGGCTGCAGGAGGATGAGAGTGCCTAGGGCATTTTACATCCCAGCATCAGGTGGCTTCTGCTTTCAACTGCTACTCGCTTCTCCTGGTGTCAGCTCTCCTCACATTAAACTACCATGTTCCAGGTCCTGTACACCCCAACTTCTAGGTTCAAGTACCACTACCTCCTCCTTTGTCTCTCTGCATTAGAAGTGCAAGAGACTTCCCTAAGTTATTCAATACTGGCTCTCCTGACTCTTCCCACTTTGATTTCTGGATTACTTGTCCGGCTAATGTGCTGTATCAAAGGAGCTCTGAATTACTTATTTAGACACACTGGATCATCCATCACTGTTAAAGCTGGCCAATTATATTAACTGACATTTTATGTTAAATCTCTGAATTTCTAAGGAAAGTTTAACTGTATCATACCAGTTAAATATACCCATCACACTTTCATTATTAATATCTAAAACAAACACACTTCAATACCCTAGGATCTCCACACACCTTCTAATGAAAAATGTGTCTTTCTCTGTGCTTCATAGCTTTCTTCAGCAGCAAATGCCAAACATGCTCCTTTAGAAGTGTCCCTGAAAGTTCCAGGTATTAAAGCCTGTGGTGCTATTGAGTGGCAGTGGAATCTTCACGAAATGTGGCCCTTGTGGAAGAAAGTTAGGTCACTGAGATGTGCCTTTGGCGATGCTCTGGGGACACAGGTGATTTCTCTTTGCTTGCATCCCAGCTGCCATGAGGTGAACAGCCCCCCTCCACTACTTGCTTTTGCCTTGGTGTACTGCCTCGCTGCAGGGCCAAAAGCAATACAACCAAGCATCCATGGACACAAAGCTCTGAAACAGTGGGCCAAATAAACCTTTCCTCCTTTTCAGCGCTTAATCAAAGGGATGTTACCACTTCAGTGGAGAGCTGACTACCAAAACCACTGTTACAAATGTAGCAGATGCATGAAGCATTACCTCAGGCATGCTTTTGCTAAAGAAAAGTCACATTGAGAAGAAAACACTAATCTGATCAAGTTTCTCCTTGGAACTACTGAGGATGAATATACTGAGGGTCACTTGTACAAGATTTATTCACTTGTTTTCTACATTATCGTATGTCACATTGCCCATAAAATGGTTTTAGCATAAATGCCATTCCTATATGTTTTAATACCAAAGTGAAATGGATCAATGTCTAACAAAATGTAAATAACTAAAAATATCGTTAGATGTAGAAAATTGAGATTGAGAAATATCAGCCAAGGCCCTACTCTATAGCCATTCACCAAATATCCCTGGTTCAACTACATGTGGAGGTCAATTTCACTCACAATTAGGTAACTCCAATCAGCATCACCTGTAAACTCATCCAGGCCAAAACCAAAAATGAAAACAGAACCGACTTACTACTACTTCACGCATGTTAATAAGCAAGTTTCCTTGGATGCAAAAACAGAAGAGAGCTCAAGAAAAGAAGAAGTAAGCCAAGCCTGCTCCACTCTTCAAAGGTGGACTGGAGAATATAACAGAGTTGCTACACTTTACCCCTCACATACTGGAAATAACTTTTTTAGGAGTTTTTGTGTAGGAGGCAAAGTCTGCCTGGTGAAAAGAAGGAACAGCACCGCGTGTGTTTTCTCTGATACTCCCTGACCTAGTGCAGTCCTAGTGATGGTCCATCGCATTTGGAAGCTGTGGAAGAGAAACAGTCCAAGCTCTGCAGTGGTTGGAGCAGTAACAAGTCAAGAGG